GGGGGGGGGGGGGGGGGGGGGGGCATTCATCTTGTGATTTATGATTGTAAAAAACATTTTGGCGCAAACCGCAGATCAATATCTTAATTTTTGACCAAGTTATGACAGGTCAAAGGTCAAATTTGACCTATTTTTAAAAAATCATAATTCCGGTTCAAATTATTGTAGTGAAAAAAATGAAACGGGGAAATTTTCCAAATTATAAGCACTTCTAAGTTAAAATCACAAATCACTTCAAACTAATTTTATGGGGGGTTTCGGACCCCCAAATATGTCAGTTCAAAAGTTGTACGATTTTCCTGCGAAATGAGCCAACCTCCCCTTACTTTACCTCAACATTATTTCGGTAAGTTCAAAATTAGTTCAACATTGCGTTCTCAAGTTCCCAAATTTCGGGCAAAGTTCAAAGTACAAAATTTAAGGTGATTCAATTCAACCATTTAAATTTTGTTTTTTTATTAAACTTTGCCCGAAATTTGGGCATTGGGGGGTATGGCCCTACAGGAAATTGGCTTATAAAAATTTTCAACATCTATTGTTGGTTTTACCATCACACTTCACTTTTCATTACTTTACTATTGGCCCAAGAAAATGTTCAGAATCAACAATTTCCTTGTATATTAGTTTTGAGTGGGCTTGCACAAGTTAACTCACCTTGTTATCTAACAGGTTCGTTATCTCTTTGATAATCTGTCATTATTACAAGCAGATCTCCATCTTATCTCTGTTGGTGCTGTCATCTCAATAAAATCTTATTTTTTTCCAGCCATTGAAAAAGTGCACAACAGAGCAAAAAGCATGGTGTCAGCCAAAGTAAGCTGTCCTCAGTGGATTTTCAAGTACATAAGTGGACCAAAAAGCAACAAATATATGGATCCCAACCTTGATTTGTCTCAGGTTCGTCTTCAAGAATGAATCACCAGACAGTATGAAATTGAGAAATACAGCACATGCTTTCTCAGCATTTCATATAAAACATGTTGAACTTGAAGAGACTGTCCAAAATGTTTCTTAAAAAGTTGTCCTATACCCAAATGATTATACTTTGGTTTCCTAGTGCTTAAGTTGCTGGACTTCCCTCACAGCATATATCAAGAAATATTGCACAGCTAGTCCATCAAAAACCTTCCTAAATAACCGCATCACTAGTTCAGTCAAAATTTGCTGTTTCATGCCTGAGCACTGTCAGAGCACTCCTAATTCTGCCCTCGATTATAATTGCAAACTTGCTCAAATCTTTCCTTACTCTCTCGAAAATATTCTTTAAAAAATCATGCAAAAATATCCAGTAATATTCTCTTCGAAAATTAGGTCATATTACTCACATGTGGCTTTATAACCTCTTGTGGACTTTTCTTTCCTCAACAAAAATAAAATAAGAATTCGCAGCAGAAATTTTGAATCATTACATTCTAGTATGTGATTGGCAGTTTGAGTGGCGATTTATGTTGTATCAAGTGCTTAAGGGCTTTTTTCAGGAATTGATTTAAGAATTTAAAAATTTAGTTTCTTTCCTCTCGTTTGATTACACCGGTCATCATGGGTTCTGTCCGTTGAACTAAACCAATTTTTCTCGATTCCTAGGTGCTAAAGGAACCCGAAAATGGCCATATTGGAGCGGGGCTAAAACTATCAGGGGGGGGGGACTGGCTCCCTGCTTGGAGCGGGTCTAACTCTAAAATTGGGGAGGAGGTTGCAGAGCAGGGTGATGTGGGCTGCTCTCACAACCCAACAGCTGAAATGATAATCACACTTTCAGCTCCCGCACAGTGCTGAAAGGATGAAGTCTTTGGGGGCGCCACCAGATAGGGAAGGTGTGCTGAGTCAGACAATGGTAATTACCTTGTGAGAGAATGATGAGACTAGATGTAGTTGGAAGACTAAGGTTTGTTGTCCAGTGCAACAAATAAGTGTGTAGCAAACAAGGCTACAAGTTGGCGGGCGAATTGCTCCGGATTCCCGAACGGCGAATTGGTCAAGCGGGAGAGACTAGTATAACCAAATTGGCAGCGAGATCTGCGCACTGGCTAGAATAACTCTGGGAGGCTGGGAGGCTAACTTGGGTACAGTTTCAGTGGTGGTGCATTAAGCTGTGACCTAAGAGAGACTGATTTCACCCATTTTCCGGAGTTTTCAGCAAACCTCGGATGGAAGAGAGATGGCGTGGGTTCTCACGAGGAAACTCCAAGAAAATAGCCAATGCCAGCGTTTTGGGCTCTGGCCTTATGACACCAAATCGCAGATCCCAGGAACATCACATGCAGGTTGCCAGACTTCGAGCCCTGAAATAGCCAGGTCCGATGATGTTAGTGGAAAAACAGCGATTTCAGTGCCCCCTTCGGCAACCAGCAGATGAGCCGCTGGATTCGGCGCCATATGGCCAAAGGAAGCTGTCTCTCTTAAATTACTGGTCCTCTTGAGCGATCGGCTTGTCCCTCGCATGATAGAGATCGCATATCCGCAACATGATGTCACCATGTCGCACGTGCTCCAGCTCGATCACCCGGGCGACAACCCGACCGCTGGACGCTTTCCTTCTTCAAAGCGCTTCACAGCTGATTCCTACAAGTAAGTTCATTGGAGAGTGCATGCTGAAGCTTTAAGCTCGAGCTTTCACTCTCCGATGAACCTACTTGTTGTTGTGTCTGTTTTTGCGAATGGGGTGATAGTTGTCGCTATCACCATCCATCCGTCACAATATTAACTTCAGGAAAATAGACTGGGCCTCAGGGCGCCGCCATTTTGAATTTTTAAAAATCGAGAAAACTCATGATTAGGTTTTTGCAAATATCTCCTCAGCGGTTCATCTCATGAAAAAAACAATAAAACCAGCGGAAAGAACATCAAATTTCCTACCGAAATCATCCTCCTTTGTTCTTTCTAACTTAATTTTTTGGTCGCGAAATTAACGTTTTCTTCAAAAATTAGCTTTAAAATGGTGCATTATTGCTGATTTTGGGAGAAACTTTGCTTCATATCTCCAGCCACGAATATCTGAGAAAAAATCTGTTATGCTCATTGAAAATAGCATAAAATTTACATTTAGAAACGTATGCCAATAGCTCCTAAACTAGATTTAATCCTGTGAAACAGCAGTTTATCAGCTCCGCTCTTACAGGGGATTTTTTCGACCATTTTCCTTAGAATCACGAAAAGAAGATAACAAAACCCTAAAAACACAACGGGAACTGTGTAAAAAGGTGGCAAAATAGTGCTGGGTCCACACTATTTTGAAAACAAAACCATAAAGTTCCAAAATTTTCAATTGGAGTCAAAAATTGTGAGCTCCAATGGATTACCAGTGCGGCAGTACATAACTGAAGGGGAAGAGCGTTCAGCTCAGTCAATTAGCATCAGAATATTAAGTAGAGGTCACGGCGAGAGATCTACAACTTTGGGTCTTGTCATAGACCTCATCAGTAGATCACACTCGTCAGTGAGATCAAAAGCCAAAAAGTTCAAAAATGTTCAATCAGAGTCAAATATTTTGAGGTCCAATGAGTACCAAACTTGCCGTCTTGCAATACAAAACTTAAACTTCGAACTCGAGCTTTGATGCCGTCTTGGATTTTGCGAGATTTTCAGTTGCGTTCACATGACGAGTGTGATCTTCTGATGAGGTATAAAAAGACCCAAAATAATAGATCTGTCGACGTTACCTCACCTTAATATTCCAATGCCAACTGCCTGAGCTAAACACTCTCCCCCCTCAGTTTTGTACCGATACTCATTGGAGCTCACAATTTTTTACTCTCATTGAAAATTTTTGAACTTTTTGGCTTTGTTCCAACACCCCAAGGTGTGGAACCCAGCACTATTTTCCCACCTTTTTACATAGTTCAGGTCACATTTTCAGGGTTTTTTTCTCTTTTTTTCGTGATTCTAAGGAAAATGGTCGAAAAAATCCCCTTTAAGAGCGGAGCTAATAAACTGCTGTTTCACAGGATTAAATCTAGTTTAGGAGCTATTGGCATACGTTTCCAAATGTAAATTTTATGCTCTTTTCAATGAGCATAACAGTTTTTTTCTCAGATAATCGTGGCTGGAGGTATGAAGCAAAGTTTCTCCTAAAATCAGCAAAAATGCACCATTTTAAAGCTAATTTTTGAAGAAAACGTTAATTTCACGACCAAAAATTAAGTTAGAAAAAACAAAAGAGGATGATTTCGGTAGGAAATTTTATGTTCTTTCCGCTGGTTTTATTGTTTTTTTCATGAGATGAACCGTTGAGGAGATATTTGCAAAAACCTAATCGTGAGTTTTCTCAATTTTTAAAATTTCAAAATGGCGGCGCCCTGAGGCCCAGCCAATTTTCCTGAAGTTACTATGGCCATTTTCGGGCTTCTTCAGCACCTAGGAATCGAAAAAAATTGGTTTGGTTCGAAGGACAAACCGAAACCCGAAATTTGTTGTGCTGTGTTATCAGTTTCCACAATTGTCAGAACGAAGATTTTAAAATACTGCAGGAGGTGTCGTCAGTTAAGGTAGCCCTTGTTTACTTTCCTCTTGCAAGCGATGGCGATGCAATTGTCCAATAGCAATCGAGGATTAACTGTGGCCTGATCACTAGCGTCGCTATTCCTCGATCCCAACTGGATGTCTGCATTGCGGTCGCTTCCAAATGGAATTTAAACAAGTGCTAACTTAGCTGACGACACCTCTATCACTATCGACTATTGAGGGAACCATAGAATATTCTGGCCAATTTTTAAATGAATATTAAGAACTGTCTCTATTTTTGATGAATGAATGCTGCTACATCAACTAAAGGTAAAAGTTAGTAAACTTTCCTCTCCTGATGTCAGTGAATGTCTCAGTATATTAGATTATTTCTTTTTGGGAGGAAATATGTATACCTCCTCTTTCATTGTACAGGGAGCTTTGTCATGACTAGTATTTCTGATATCACAGGTTCATATGAGTTACACGGAGGATAACAACAAATCTGGCTGGTTGAAATTTGAAGGACCGACAACTCGAATCTCAGAAGTCCAAGTTGCGTTGGATGAATTGGTGACCGAACTGCGGAACAACCTTTGCTACGAGGAGTTCCCTGTGGATGCGAAATATTACAAGCACATCATCGGAAAAGGTGGTTGCAACATCAACCGTGTTCAGGAAGAATATAGCGTTGATATCAATATCTCAGACTCTCACATAATCAGAATTGAGGGAGAAAAACAAGGTGTTGAAGGCGCGAAGAAAGATATTGAAGGCATGGTATGTATTACTTCTCATTTTATTTGAGCAATAAAACCACTCCAAGAATCAGCAAACTAAATGAAATAAGGAGCACCGGAATTAAAAAACTCAAACTCACAATAAATTAAGTTATAACCACTGAGGGTGCTCAAAAACTTCGTGGCCCTAAGAAGGGCCGTTTTAGAGAGAGAAGAGCTGGAACAGGTCTGGGCGTAGCTGGATCAAGCAGGAGCACTAGGCAGAGCCGTGAGGTGTGGTTGTGAGACAGTGTTAACGTATGGTGAAGCTCTGAGCAGGAAGTCGGCCGCTATATGTATAGTGCCGTGCGCTAGGAGTGGGTGCCAATGGGAGGCCAAAGCGGTGAGCGCGGCAGTGCGAGGCGGTGATTGGCGGAGGAAAATGGCGGGAAAGCACAGTGAGCTTGTGTCGCCACACCACCAACGCATTTTGAGGCTCCGCGGCTTCTTCTTCAAGGCAGAACTCCGATTTGTTGTTGTTCCACTCATCTCCTTCATGCTTATCTTCTTATCAGGGCTACCACCTATCACTTGGGCATGCAGTTTTGGAAAAATTCCAAATCAAAATTTACTTACCAACTTCTCTCTATTCTTATACATTTGCATAGCTTCGAAGATGTGAAATTGCCTCCTATTACTGCATCCAATTAGCAGCTTTCCTTGTTCTTCAAACCAATGTCCTATTTCAAAGAACTCCGCACAATCCTTAAGGGGGATTCTGATGAAACTTGTATATGTTGCCCAGCCAGTCATTCTGATCCAAAGCTCCCGTGTGACAAAAGAGATCCCATGTGCAGTTCTCGAGGTACTCGCTATTTTACATGCGTGAAGGGAAGTCCCGCTGGTCGGACCATTTTGCGGCGCTTCTCCTCTTCGCTTCCAGTCCACTCCAGCCCCTCCCTCTCCGCTTCCCCGCCACCCGCACCCGAGGCTCTGCCTCCGACGCTCATGAGGCTTTGCACACCATCACCGGGCCGAGCCGCACGCCGTCGTATCACACAGCTTGATGATGATAGGCACAGCCTCGTGAGTGTCTTGAGTCAGAGCCTCGGGCGGGGGTGGCGGGGAAGCGGAGAGGGAGGGTCTGGAGTGGACTGAAAGAGAAGGGCAGGAGTAGCGCCGCCCAATGGTGGGAATTCCCTTCACACATGTAAAACGGCAAATATCCCGAAAACTGCACAAGGGATCTCTTTCGTTCCCTGAAAGCTTTTGATCAGGATGACTAGCTGAGCAACATATCCAAGTTTCATCAGATTTGATCCTGGGGAGGGGGGAGGAATACACCCTATAAGGATGGTGCGGGGTTCTTTGTGCATTGCTACTGCTGATTTAGTAATTTCCCAATTTCTGATACTTCTTTAGTGTTCACCAATCCTTATTTTCATTTTTCTTCTCGTCTCATCTCAGTGGCGTGCGGTGGGTTCAGTGACAGGGCAAGCTCTAGCGTTCGCCATCCGGGGGGGGGGGTGGTGGTTAACATAGCCTCTTTCCCTTCCCCCTCCCCCTAGCCTACCTAGAAAATTCTTAAAATTTTACTCTATTTGCTCTATTTTTCGGATGAAATCTGATGGAACGTAACGTATTGAAAAACTGTATTTTTATTTTTTTCTCTCTTATTTATGATTTCGTTTACTCAACTTGTTTCGAATGTTATTGAGCATTGGAGGACGGCTCCTTACTCATAACTCCTAATTTTGCCACTTATTTGAGGTATTATAGTCTTTATTCTACCGCATTTAGAATTTTTTGAGTTACTTAAATTTCCCAAAAAAAGAGGCTTTCTGCATTTAAAACATGATTGAGAATTGTCTAATTCATCACCAATTAGATCCAAGTGAGCGAAATTTTATAGAATATAAAGGCATTTGCTCCGGAGGAGCAATTACAACCGCGACGAAAAGAGGGAACAAGATAGCGCATCGGAGGCAGAAGCAGCGCGCTGCGGTGACAAGCCAAGAGGTGGCCAAGAGAAGCGAGCTGCGATCGCGCAGCGAAGGGCTCGGACTCGGAACGTACCGCGCTCCCCGCTTGCCTTGATTCCGCCGCCGAGCAGTGGCGCTCCGCTCAGCTGATCGCAAGCGATTCTCCAGCGCATGAGATTGAGTTGTCCCGTGTTCAGGCCGCGCAGCGCGCTGCGCCACCTCCATCCGCTCTTCTGCTTTCCTACTTTGGTGGCTCTATACGTATTTCTGTCTCCCTTTCTTTCTGTTTTTAATGCAATTTACTTACGGAACGCATTTAATAAATTATATTTACTAAAATGTAAAACATTTAATAGGTGTGATTTTCTGCTTACCTACTTTAGAAATCTTTGAGCAAGCAGTGCTTGCCTTGCTTATCCGGACGGCACGCCACTGTCTCATCTATTTACTGCTTGTCACAGTCTCTACATTATAAACTGTTAATTCCAGCCCTATCTCCTTTTTCAACTTGTCCTGGAGATTGTCTGATTGTTCGTGTCCTCCTGATTGATCGATTGTCAAGGGAGGAAAGGGCACTGAACAGGGGTTTAAAAATCTGCCACCTATTTAGCAAGAAAGTTGAAGATTACGTAGTAGATGCACATATCGCCTCTTCATTCTCACCTATAGAAGAAGAAGACCCGGCGCTCTGCGCCAGTTTCTTCCAGAGAGGGGAGGGAGCTCTGCTCCCTCAGACCCCGCGAGACTCGCGCACGTCTTTTCAGGCGTTCCTCCTTTTCTTTAAGTGACCCGTGCATCCACCGCGAGAAGGAAAGTGTATTTCCAGAAGTGGAAGCAGGAGTCACAGTCCGGGAGCACATGTTCATTTTTGGGGTCCCGTGGGACCGTTAATGATACAAGTTGGCGACATGGCTTGATCTCTTCGTCTTGATGTCCTGAAACAGAATTTTGATGCTGCCAGGCTCAATTTTTCCCGGAACACCCTTAAATTCAAGATGGCGCCCAAAATGGCCGCCACGGGGGTGAAGTGGGTGGAAGTGACTCCCATGGTCGACATGTATGTCGATTTCTATGTATTTTTGGTCGAAAATTTCAAATATATGCTTAAAAATGTACTCCGACTTCTTAAAGACCCTTAAATCCAAGATGGCGGCCAAATTTCCCCTCCTGAAAGTCAAACGGCCACGTGTGCTCCTATATGGCATGTGAGGTATCTTTCATACCATTTTTTGGGCCGTAAAATCGAAAAATGATTTTAAAAAATCCTTTGCGATTCATTTAAGGTCTCAAATTACAAGATGGCGGCCAAAATTGCTGAAATTTTGGAACCAAAAATTCTATAATAGCTTCTCATATCATGTGACGTATCGAACCCCATAGATTTCTGGTCGTAAAATCCAAATCTTGAATTCAAAATTCACCCCGGCCCCCTGGGATGTCCAAAATCCAAGATGGCCGCCGAAATTATCCCTTACAGGATCATACAGTCAGCCTTGACCTTAAAATAGCAAGATATGTATCCATTTACAGGTTTATTGGGTCGCAGAATTCATAAATGAAGGTTAAAGTAACCTTACTTACTTGTTAAAAAACATGTGTCAATAGTTTCAAACTCAATTTAATCCTGTGAAACAGCAATTTATCAGCTCCGCCCTTAAAATGTAATTTTTTCGACCATTTTCCCTAGAATCACGAAAAAAGAGAAAAACCCCTAAAAACGTGACCCGAACTGTGTAAAATGGTGGCAAAATAGTGCTGGGTCCACACTATTTTGAAAACAAAACCAAAAAGTTCCAAAATTTTCAATTGGAGTCAAAAATTTTGAGCTCTAATGGATAACCAGTACGGCAGTACATAACTGAAGAGGAAGAGCGTTCAGCTCAGGCAATTAGCATCAGAATATGAAGAGGAGACCACGGCGAGAGATCTATAATTTTGGGTCTTGTTATGGACCTCTTCAGTAGATTACACTCGTCAGTGAGATCAAAAGCCAAAAACTTCAAAAATTTTCAATCAGAGTAAAAAATTTTGAGGTCCAATGATTACCAGTACGAAACTTGCCGTCTTGTAATACAAAACTTGTACTTCGAACTTGAGCTTTGATGCCGTCTTGTGACGAGTATGATCTACTGATGAGGTATAAAAAGACCCAAAATTATAGATCTCTCGACGTTACCTTACCTTAATATTCCAATGCAAACTATGCTGCCTGAGCTGAACTCTCTCCCCCCTCAGTTCTGTACTGATACTCATTGGAACTCACAATTGTTGACTCTGATCGAAAATTTTTGACCTCTTTGGCTTTGCCCCCCCCCAAAGTGTGGACCCAGTACTATTTTGCCACCTTTTTACACAGTTCGGGTCACGTTTTTAGGGTTTTGTTATCTTCTTTTCGTGATTCTAAGGAAAATGGTCGAAAAAATCCCCTGTAAGAGCGGAGCTGATAAACTGCTGTTTCACAGGATTAAATCTAGTTTAGGAGCTATTGGCATACGTTTCCAAATGTAAATTTTATGCTCTTTTCAATGAGCATGACAGTTTTTTTCTCAGATAATTGTGGCTGGAGGTATGAAGCAAAGTTTCTCCTAAAATCAGCAAAAATGCACCATTTTAAAGCTAATTTTTGAAGAAAACGTTAATTTCACGACCAAAAAATTAAGTTAGAAAAAATAAAAGAGAATGATTTCTATGGGAAATTTTATGCTCTTTCCACTAGTTTTTATGGTTTTTTCGTGAGATGAACCGTTGAGGAGATATTTGCAAATATCTATTCATGAGTTTTCTTAATTTTGCAAAATTCAAAATGGCGGCGCCCTGAGGACCAGCCAATTTTCCTGAAGTTAATATGGCCATTTTCGGGCTTCTGTAGTACCTAGGAATCGAAAAAAATTGGTTTGGTTCGAAGGACGGAACCCATGTTGACCGGTGTTATTGGTGTACAAATAGTTAAAAACTCTAGACAAAATTGTTTAAAAAATAATTTGGTTATGCCTCTCGTTATTGATGGGATGTTCAGAAAAAATTAGTTATCAGACATTTAAAAGATAATATAGTTCAATTTTGAAAGTTCATGTTGCTTAACTGTTTACAAGCCCGGTTTTTTTCTTCTTCTTGCTTTGTTTTTTGTTCCTTTCCTTGGTAACAGCTAATTAGCAATATTCGCGTTACCAAGAATATCTTACATTTCTACGAATAGCTAGGTGCTACAAAATGCAATTGATTGTTTAGTGTTAGTGCTCTTGTTTATGAATGATAAGTTTATTACGAAAGATAAGTTGCAAGGCATCCTGAAAGGATCCTCTTCTAGTATTCTCCTTTGAACTATTTTTCTAATGCCCACTGAAAAGACTGAACCCAGAGAAAAACCAAAAACGCCCTAAATTCTTATCAGAAACCTGTGCTTGCTTCGTTTTTTCCAAAAATGTACACCTTTGATGTGTGTATCATGTCGATTTATAAACCTTTTCTCCTTTTGTTACTTTGTCTGTAAATAAAAACCTCATTTTTATTTCTGCCAAAAAAAAGACAATCCTATCTCGTTTAGTGTAATCTTCCTAAAGCTACATAATCCTTTATTCATTATGATTTGCTATCTTGCCCATTAAATTTATGCTGAAGGGGGGGGGGGTTCTTAATAGTTCGAAAGGTTGATTTAACCTTCATTTATGAATTCTACGACCCAATAAACCTGTAAATGGATACATATCTTGCTATTCTAAGGTCAAGGCTGACTGTATGATCCTGTAAGAGATAATTTCGGCGGCCATCTTGGATTTTGGACATCCCAGGGGGCCGGGGTGAATTTTGAATTCAAGATTTGGATTCTACGACCAGAAATCTGTGGGGCTCGATACGTCACATGATATGAGAAGCTATTATAGAATTTTTGTATCCAAAATTTCAGCAATTTTGGCCGCCATCTTGTAATTTGAGGCCATAAATGTATCGCAAAGGATTTTTTAAAATCATTTTTCGATTTTACGGCCCAAAAAATGGTATGAAAGATACCTCACATGCCATATAGGAGCACACGTGGCCGTTTGACTTTCAGGAGGGGAAATTTGGCCGCCATCTTGGATTTAAGGGTCTTTAAGAAGTCGGAGTACATTTTTAAGCATATATTTGAAATTTTCGACCAAAAATACATAGAAATCGACATACATGTCGACCATGGGAGTCACTTCCACCCACTTCACCCCCGTGGCGGCCATTTTGGGCGCCATCTTGAATTTAAGGGTGTTCCGGGAAAAATTGAGCCTGGCAGCATCAAAATTCTGTTTCAGGACATCAAGACGAAGAGATCAAGCCATTTCGCCACTTTGTATCATTAACGGTCCCACGGGACTACATGTGCTCCCGGACTATCATGGAATTTACCTATATTTTTTATGACTTTTTTCTAGCCATTTTTTCGAATTTTCAAAATAGTTTATATGGTTAAATGGGTGAAATTTTGTTCAAGGACCCATTTCTTTCTCTTGCCCACTGTGCGACGAACAATTTGTCCAAAATCTTCCCTCCCCTGACCCACTGTACTACGAACAGTTTGTCCTAAAACTTTCCCCCTGATCCACTGTGCGGCCCAGCTCCGGCCGGCTCCCCTCATACCGCGCGCACTCCCGGCCTGTACCTTTCAAAGCTCGCCATTCTGAAACGGCTCGGCCGATTTTGCTTGCTCTAGTTCAACACCAAATCAGTCCTAGGGGAAACTTACCACCCATATATCTGCGTATACCTTTGAGACTTTCCCTATTCATTCACCTAACGATGCCCCATCTGTTCCCAAATTTTCAAGCCCCCCAAAAATTTTGGGTAGACGCGGCGGGGGGGGGGCTCAAAGTTAAAATCCGGCAAAACTTTTGCGAATTTTCTACTCAAAAACCAAGGAGTTTTGGAATACGCGGTTTAAACGAGCGTATTCAGCGTGACGAGAGCTTTCAGAAAATGTATAACATCATAGGGTTTTGTCAACTTCAGCTCAAGTTATCGCCTCCGAAGCGCCAGAACGCTCAAAAAAGACCCCTTATTTCTTCACGTTTGGGCCGATTTAAAAAAAAAGCCATTTTTTTAATTTGATGAGAAACTGATATGTTGTTCCTGACTCTCTGTAGCCCCTCTAGCTCTTTACCGCATGCCAGGGAATTGTTTTGGTCGCGAGGTATAAGAGCGGAAAGGAGCGATGGTCGGGAAAATTGGCTATTTTAAACTGCGCGCGGCGACGGATCAGAAGACTTGTGGCAACAATGCGATGTCGGCAGAAGAGTGTGATTCGCTGAATTGAGTGGGAGGGGACGTTTTCCTTCCGAGCAACGCCGCGCGCGCAGTTTAAAATAGTCGATTTCCCCGGCCATCGCTCCTTTCCGCTCTTATAACTCGCGACCGAAACATTTCCCCAGCATGCGGTAAAGAGCCAGAGGGGCTACAGAGAGTCAGGAACAACATATCAGTTTTTCATCAAAATAAAAAAATCGCTTTTTTAAATCGGCCCAAACGTGAAAAAATAAGGTGTCTTTTTGAGCTCTTGTTCCAACTGTTCAGTTTAACCGGATGTTGACTGAGATACAGCTCTGTTACACTCAAAGTTAAAAGTTATTTGAACACGCCACCCACCCCCAATTTTAGATTTTTGAACGATCAATTTGAATGATTGAATGATTGAATGATTGAATGATGAATAGGAAAAAAGGTTTGCCTGTCTATAGCATTCACAGTGAAATTAATGTAAAAAATTGTTCATTTCCAGTTCTATGAGTTACTCAGTCAATGTAAAAAGTCAAGAAATTTTGATAATATTGGTTAGGGAAAGTCTGGGAAATTTTTTTCACAAGCCTGTAGACATCGTGTTCAGGCATTCCCTCTCTCTGTTACTCCTAATAACATCAAAAAAGCCCTGTATTGGTATCTCTTTTAATAACAGAACACAGCAAAGAGATTGGCAAAATTTAATCAAGTGTACAATGTTGATCATGAAACAAAATTTCTAAAGAGAATTGTAGACAAATCAGCCATTCAGCAGCCTGTAAATCCTTACGTTTTCTTCTATAAACGTCAGGACACAAAAGAGGGAAGCAAGTTTTGAGTCTAGGCTGAACGGCAACTGCCAAGTGCAGTACAGAATAGTCTTATGTAGCTACAATTTTAGCTGAATCAGTTTCCCATGCCCTTTTGGCTTGTCTGTTCAATGTTAAAATTTAAACTCCTTTCTCTCTCATTTTTTTCTTACCCAGATGGAATATCTTTCCTCCAGTAGAACATTTTTTCCACTGTAAGTTTTCTTTTTCTGCAGATCTTCAAGATCGAAAATGAAGTTGAAGAAGATATGATAATAAGCGCCAAACTCCACAGAGATTTGATAGGAGTTCGCGGAGGGAGTATCAGGGAGTTGAAGGATAAATTTCCGTCAGTCATCATTAATATTCCATCGCAGACGGAGAACTCGGATGTGGTGAAACTACGCGGTCCCAAGGATGATGTCAAGAAGTGCAGGAAAGCCCTCGCAGATGCTGTCAAAGAAATCGAGCGCAAGAACTATTGCAAGGTGGTCACCATCTTCAAAGACTTCCACAAAAACATCATCGGGAAAGGTGGTGCCACCATCAAGAAGATACGTGAAGACACAAATACCAAAATCGATCTGCCTAAAGAGACAGATAAGAGTGATGATATTATCATCAGAGGTGTCAAGGAAGATGTTGAACGAGCAGCTCAGCAAATTTTAGTAAGTCAGCACAACTGCTCCATTAATTGCTTCAAAATCTATTATATGTGATATATTTTTTGCATTGAAAAAATATCTTCACAGCTTTACATGAGCAACTTCACATTATTCAAAAACTTTGTTTGGTTTGCCTCTTTTTAATTTCTCTTTTTTGTCTCTTTGGTAATGATTAAAGATGCACTGTTAAAGTCAACAACTGCCCAACGAAAATTACCCGCTGAGTATTGAGCTCAACGATAGCGCTGGTAAATCATGGTGGATTTACTCGTTTGCCGTGATGGCTGCTCAGCAAACTGCCATAGTTCAGCAAGGTTCTAGCTGTTGCGGACTGCTGCCGAGTTGGCTGGATTGTTGTTCTGCTATTGTTTACATCAATATCTGCCATTTTCTTGCTTTTCTTCGCCACATATTCTTCGCCAGACTAATTTGAAAATGCTTTTAATCGTTGCACTGTGTCAATTTCATAATCATGGATAGTAAAATTTAAATAGAAAAAAATGAAATTGTGAAAAAAGTTCACCCCCAGCTCATCCCAATCCAACGGGAATTTAAAAACGGCACCTCAATTTTCTCATATCTGTTTTTAGCTGACATCGTCGTTGAGATGATATCTATCCTGCCTAGATTCCGCCATTATTGTTGGGCAGAAAAAGTAATTTAACAGTGCACCTTAACATGTTGCCTGCCCTGCTGGTTGTGTTGCCCGCCATTAAAGGGTTCTGCAGGCACCATGATGCTGGTCGTTTTGATTCTAATAAAGTCGTTTGCATCGAATGTTCTCCCAAAGGCCAGCAAGAGAGGCACACTGAACTTTCTATTTTGCCTATTTGGGGGGTGGGGGTGGAATGCCGAGGTGCCAGGAGGACCCTGCGAACTGTGGCAGGCAATGTACCAGTGATTTTTCATGACTTTCAATATGGTCTTAGGACACTATACTATGATTGCCCACTTCCAAAACCCTCCTGATAGTCCACGGAGGTCTGCCGTGTCGTTAGGCATCTTCTACCATGTACCTGCTTGAAGTATAAGTACGTTCTTTGCCCCCTCGAAAACTATATCTTTTGTCTCTCTTTTTTTCTTTGTCCTCATTTATTCTACAAATTAGCATCATAACTTCTTTAGACTGATTAAATTATTGAAATTTTAGTTCGTCCGAAAATTCATGAATATTTTTTTTAAATCAAAATTCCATACAAATTTTATTCTTTTGCAAACTTAGCAGTATTTTTCTCATAATGCATTGTAGTGAAAGTGACTAACCTCAAAAACCTACCCAAAGCTTTAGGTTTTAGTTAGCTTTAATATTATAACGGTTATAACGGGTTCGGTTAATATAATAGCTATGTCTAAAGCATGATGTCAAAGAATCCAACAGATCCGAATAAATCTTAAAAAAAGCTTAAATTTTCAAGGATCGCTTGTTTCACTGCGTGGTATATTAATCAATTACCGAACGGCAATCTAATGCCGACAAGTCGATTCTGAATATATTCATCACATATCATGAAGAGATTCACTATAAAGATTCGTGGTCCAAATAAATATAATAAAATGGTATTCATACATAGTATCCGATAGTGGAGAGATAGGCAGTGCAACCACCCAAATGCCGGTGCGGAACGAAGGCTTGAGGGAGAAAATCCTGTGCGGTCCCCGCACCACACTGCGAAGTGGAGGAGAGCGGAGCCCCTCCCTTATGCAGGCTAAAAGATTATAGCTGAATGAAATGACTGAATTTTGTAAAATAATTTACTGATAGAATTTTTTTTCAACATAATTTCTCCCAAATTTCCAACACTCTCTATTGAGCGGCTCTTATGCAAATGTTCAATTTTTCAACAGGCTATCCAAAACGAAATGGCAGCATTTGCCACAGAAGAAGTACCTATTCCAAAAAAAGTGCACACTCTACTGACAGGACCAAAAAAGAGGCTGGTGCAAGCAATCAAAACGGAATGTGGAAGTGTCACAATAAAATTCCCCCCAGCTGAGAGCAAAAGTGATATTGTTACGATTCGCGGATTGGACAAAGAGGATGTGAAACGTGCCAGAGACATGCTCATGGAACTAGCTGCAGAAACAGAACAGGCCAGCTTCACAGCAGAATTGAGAGTGAAGCCAGAACATCATAACTTCATAATCGGGCGCAAAGGCATGAACGTGAAAAGGGTAATAGTTGGATTTTATCTTTGTTCACGATTCATTCATTCGTTCATTCATTCTTTGTCATGTTTTAGGAAACAAGGCTTTGAGTAACTTGAGGTAGGTTAACCTGAGAGGTATACCATCCGTGCAGGAATTTTAAACAAAAATGAGTGTATTGTATTTTTTGGTTAGTTGTTAAAGAAGTATGAATCAAAATTTGAGAAAGAATACCCTTCAGTAGTGTCATGATAAGTATTTGACTGAACAGATTGAAAGTTAGTCACGAATTCAAGAAGATATGTTGTCTTTAAATCTTAGTTTCAAGAATGTAATGTCATCCTAACAGTAGAACAAAGACATACACAGGCAGCTCAAAACGGAGACAAGGAAACAGCAGAAACAAGCTAATATACGTATAATTATTCGGGACGCTTTGGTGTCTTACGACACAATTATCAACCGCTTAAAACAGTAAGTAAATCTAAAAAGAAATAATAATCACAGGAAACCAGCACTGCGTAAAATGGTGATGGTAAAAGACTGCGACCAGGAGGTTGTCATCCATGTATCGTTAATACAACACAATTAAGGAAGAAATGGTGCTGAGAGCATCAAGTAAAGGATAAGTTGCATGGTGGTTGATAATGGTGTCGTTAGACACTGAAACATCCCGAATAATGTTGTGTATTTAGCCTTGTTTTCGTTTTACTGTTTTCCTAACTTTTGAAAAAATATTAGTCTTCAAATTATAAGAGAAATTTTGATCTGTAAAATTGTATGTTACTCATGACATCACTGAGAGGAAGCAGCATCTAATCCTGGATCTTATTTTTAATGACAAGCAGTGGACCTTAAATGCATATTGTTGGCCATATTTTCTAAATTTCTGCGCAGAGGTAGACCTCTTTACAAAAATCCTTTAGAAGGTTCAATATCCTGGAGGAGCTATCTTCATTTTGTTCCTTTTTCCATAATTTTGTATAGTCCAGTCAATCTAGCATTTCTCTGGGAAAATCTATATATAGATGGTTTTTTTGCGGAAACATGTTGCATTAGGCTACCAGAACAACATATCAAAAGTTTACCAAAATCGGCCGTCCGCTAAGGCCGCCATCTTGAAAAAAGGGGGGGTGGGGGGCCAAAATACGCCGCCGGCGACCGGTTTTTAGCTTATATCTTGAAAAATATCGATCCCACGGAAAAATGTCACGGAACCTCTAAGAAGATCATAAAATTTCCTATTAGAAACACTATACATTTATCAAATTGCGACTTCTAGTTCGTGAGATATGGTGGTAGTTGCCTGCGGCTAGGAAAGTCAAATCTTGCGAGAAATCGCGTTTTTTCAACAAAATCTGTTATTATCTTAAAAACGGCGAGTCTGAGGCAAAAAAGTGTTCTCACCGGAATGAAAGAGCATAAAATTTCCATGCTTAAAATGATTATGAATTCACTAGGGGGTCCGCCCCTGGAGCGCTATGCGGTCCGAACCAACGGTGGCTACTATGCGGTGAGGCTCGGCTTGGCCGCGCCATGAATTGTTGCGGTCCAAGATGAAACGGCTTCACTTTTTTGGTAGATTTACGGCGAGGGTAAGTCATATTATCCATTTAAAAATGTGCTAGTTTCCTTTTATTATGAAACCCCCCCCCCTCCCCCTTTAGGTCATGCATGTTGTATAGTTAATACATGTCAACGGTCGCGCTTGAAGATAATGTTATTATTTTATGCTTTCTTATTCAAATACAATTTGTCAAACAACAAATCTTCTTTTTTCAAAGTAACTAAAAGGTAATGAATTAATACATAATATAAAAAGAGGGAGTTTAAATTCATCCTCTGCTCCCTCTTCGATCAGTGTTTCTGTTTGATCGCTGCATCCCAAGCCGGAACAATGTAGACAAATGTCACTGCATGGTAGACCAGCTCTCTTACAAGAGCAGCAGTTACTACAGCCTTTCGAACATGTACATGAGATGATTTGTAAAAGTTCTTGGGGGGGGGGGGGNTTCCGAAAATTTCTGCCCCCATTCCTTGGGATTCCGTTTTCTTCCTCTCCAGAGTTGAACTTGATAATATACACGTAAGAAGTGTTGTTTGCACGCATCTGAAGTTGGAGGCAACGTTTGCAGTTTCACCTCAGTTTTTGGCCTCGCCAAAGCACGATTAAAACGTTGAAATCTGCATTTGTTCAAAGCAGTAACTGATTTTTCAGCACCATACAGCAAAAGAACAAGTTGCCCACCCGCTTGAAAAAGCTCATCTTGAGTGCAGTCGGTTTCATCAAATTTCTCAGCAATACAAGAGACTTCGCCACATTTTTCCAACAGTTTAATAAATTTGCCTTTGCCCTTGCCTAGAAATGCTGAAGTGGTATCACATCCACTGACGGCATGGATAAACAGAATGCTGTTCTTCAAATTTACATTCGATGTCCGCAATTGATTTGAGCTAAAAATTTGGGCTGCATATTTGCCCTTACCTGGTTTGAGTAATAGGACGTCGCTTGATGAAGGCGTCAAAGCTATCATTAGAACAAGGAGGTCGATGTCTTCACCAACGATTAGAGTACCCATATTGAGAGAGTATGGCCACTGGTGTTACCACCTCTGATTGGCTCAGCCATCTTAGGCTGAATGGAGCCCTTAAGACCCAAAAATGGCGGACGCCATAAATTAATGTGATGCAAAATGACTCAAAATGTAGTTTTCTTTGCTTATTGTAACGAGAAATTAACGCAAATGCACTATTGTGATTCTTTACGTATTTGTAAGGCTAATCGTGTGCAATTTTTGAGAAAAATTATCTTAGATGTAGTAAGGTTGGCAGCAAGTGCGGTTGGTGAAAACTGTCAAAAGTTGGCAATGACCCCCCTCCCATCCACAAAAACCAAAACCATGGGGCCCAGTGACCATACTCTCTCAATATAGGTACTCTACCAACGATAACAACTTGTTTCTTCGTTCCTCTCGGCAGACTGATCGCTTCATTTACGATGAGAGTATCCGCATCGTCCTCTGCTTGAGATACTTTAACTTGACTCCCTGTAGTAAAGTGTTTCGATAGCCAGCAAATCAAACGCGCCTCATTCTTTTCATTATAGATAGAAGCAAGTCCTGCCGGCTACGGATAGAGGAGTGTCCTCAGAAAAAATTAAGGCAGGACATTTTTTAAAGCTATAACGTCGTCACCTTTCATCCCTTTTTGTAGAATCTGTTGCGCCCTCTGTTCGTATCCATCAAAAACAATTGAACCTTCAAGACCATAATGCTTTTCAACATATAGGTATTAATTAACGATTCCACCGCTTAAGGTAATAAACGAAGAAATGCTTGTCTTATTCCTATTTCTATATTTTGTATTAATTCATTACCTTTTAGTTACTTTGAAAAAAGAAGATTTGTTGTTTGACAAATTGTATTTGAATAAGAAAGCATAAAATAATAACATTATCTTCAAGCGCGACCGTTGACATGTATTAACTATACAACATGCATGACCTAAAGGGGGAGGGGGGGGGTTTCATAATAAAAGGAAACTAGCACATTTTTAAATGGATAATATGACTTACCCTCGCGGTAAATCTACCAAAAAAGTGAAGCCGTTTCATCTTGGACCGCAACAATTCATGGCGCGGCCAAGCCGAGCCTCACCGCATAGTAGCCGCCGTTGGTTCGGACCGCATAGCGCTCCGAGGGCGGACCCTCTAGTGAATTCATAATCATTTTAAGCATGGAAATTTTATGCTCTTTCATTCCGGTGAGAACACTTTTTTGCCTCAGACTCGCCGTTTTTAAGATAATAACAGATTTTGTTGAAAAAACGCGATTTCTCGCAAGATTTGACTTTCCTAGCCGCAGGCAACTACCGCCATATCTCACGAACTAGAAGTCGCAATTTGATAAATGTATAGTGTTTCTAATAGGAAATTTTATGATCTTCTTAGAGGTTCCGTGACATTTTTCCGTGGGATCGATATTTTTCAAGATATAAGCTAAAAACCGGTCGCCGGCGGCGTATTTTGGCCCCCCGCCCCCCCCCTTTTTTCAAGATGGCGGCCTTAGCGGACGGCCGATTTTGGTAAACTTTTGATATGTTGTTCTGGTAGCCTAATGCAACATGTTTCCGCAAAAAAACCTTCTATATATGGATTTTCCCAGGTGACCCTTATTTAGAGCTAAATTAACTGGACTAATACGAATGGTGCTTTTGGGTGTAACTCAGATTTAGTAGGGCTTAAAAAGTAATCAGATGTACATCTGCATATCAAGAGGCAGAGTTTGTGCGTTCCTGATAAGCCCCTGATAATCTTTGAAAAATAGGCTGAAATTGGTTGGCGAGTGTTAAAAGAGGTTGTTCCAAAAACGCCAATCTTGGCCCACCCCTGGATTTGGCTCAAATTTTACTCAGATATACTGAGTGTCCCTAATGCTTGAGCAAAATTTCTGCCCCCTCGGATAATTAGGGGGCAGGGGGGCAATGTTGCAATTTTTCAAAACTTTAAAAATCGATTTCTTGCAAACGGTTTGAGTGTAAGTGTTGCGGTTTGCGCTAAAAAATGTCAAAAAATATTCGCTACAAGAATGTCAATGCTGTTGCCCAGTCATTTAATTTATCGCAGTCATAAATCAATTTTTTTTATTTTGACGGTTCGACTTTCCTTCCTTTTTCGTCTCTCCTCTCCCAGCAATCGTTGCTACATGAATAAAAACCGATTGAGGTAATTTTCCATAAAAGTCTGCATCTGCAACATTTTATTTGACCTCGGGAAAACGATTTGTTCTTGGGTTTCAGCGATTTTTCTACGCGTTCCCAGTTACGCGCTGGCAGCATATCGGCGGTGCTCCATCCCGCGCGGGCGAAGCAGAGGTTGTTTCACCGCTAGGGCCTTATATTCATGCTGTAGGCTGTAGTTATCGATATTATCTCCCTCCCCTCCAATTTATACTTTTTTATACTTCGTTTTACTGGGTGTCCCAGACCACCCGTACCAGGTATTTTTCTCGGATGGTTTAGCCAGCACG